GTGTGTGTGTGTGTGTGTGTGTGTGTGTGTGTAATATCCAGGAAAAGGTGAAAATAATATAGCAATTAGAAAGCTAAAGTAAAAAAGAACTAAATAAGTGTTTGTGGCCCAATTTATTAGATACTGCCTATCAAATTGTGAAAGCAACACTAGATTTAAATAAACAGAAGAAAATATATGGATTTACCATACAAAATTTTAAACTCAGATAAACAGACTCCACAATTGGAATGGATTCCAATTATTCAGTCTTACTTTAAGTTTGGAGTAAAAATATTTTTTTCTTTTTAAAAGTTATTCATTTTTATCCTAAGTATAAAGTAAAATATATACATTCTAACATTTTTTTAAAAGAAAATTAAAATTCCCTGTAATAACACTACGTGGGAATAATTAGTATTTGATCCATTTCTTTTCAGGGCTTTTTCTATGCACATATAATCTCATCAACTCTTAATTTGGTTTATTTTACTTCATAGCACTTAGCACTTATTATATTTTATACTTAGTCATTTATCTGTTTCCCCATTAGCATGGAAGATTTTGTCTGCCTTTTCACTATAATACTGATTCTAGAACAATGCCTGGCCATTAAGTGTTGTTGTTAGGTGCCATCGAGGGTTCTGACTCATAGTGACTTTAATGTTCAGCAAAACGAAACACTGCCGGTCTTGCACTAACCTCACAATGACTGTTATGCTTGAGCAGCTACAGCCACTGTGCCAATCCATCTTGTTGAAGGTCTGCCTCTTTTTTTGCCGCCTTCTATACTTTATGCCAAGCATGATGTCTTTCTTCAGGGACTGGTCTCTCCTGGTAACATGTCCACAGTACAAGCCTAAGTATGTGGCTGTCCTTTGTTTTTTCTTCTAGCAGTCCATGGTATTTTCAATATTCTTCACAAGAGCCATAATAAAATGCACGGATTCGTCTTCGGTTTTCCTTATTCAATGTTCAACTTTCAGATGCAAGAGGTGGATGAAAACATCATCCATGGTTCAGGGGACCTTAGTCCTCAAAATGTTCTCCTTGCGCTTCAACACTTAAAGGTATTTTGCAACATATTTACTCAATGCAATATGTTGTTTGGTTTCTCGACTGCTGATTCCATGCATCAATTGTGCACAATAGAGACAGTCCATAAATATTTGAGGCTATTTGTATCCTTTGTTCACTTAACTTTAAATCAGGGGCTTTCCCTTGTCTTAAGATGTTCTTCTTCAGATACTCATCCTACCATATTTTTAAATGTCTACTCTTGTATATGGCTGTATCATAACATATGTAACCATTCCTCATTACTGGATACTTAACATTCTAATTATTTTAATAGTCTAAAATTATTTTAAGATACAAATAAATATTCCGGTGTATTTTTTAAACTGTGTATCAAAAGTAAATCTTTCCAACAACAAAAATATATATACGAGTTTGTGTGTAGGTAGGTATGTGTGTACATAGGGTATGTGTGAGCACATGAAATGGCTAGAAATTACTTTGTCTATTGATGTCTTTGTAACTTCCACCAAATGACTGGATGGGACCATTCAAATAGGTAAAGGTGCAGTGGCTATATCTCAGATCCTCTAGCTACACAAAGGAGGAGAATCCAACTCAACACAAACCCAAGGTCAACAGCCAAAAGGCAGAGGTCAGACATACCTTCACCTTCCATCCTACCATTCCTCCCAATACACTCTACTTTCTGTTGGGTTCTATAATTCCATTGCAGTGGTCACACAGAACTCACAGACAACACTTAAGACTAAGGGAGTTTATTAGGAGAGTTAAGTTATCACAAGCCAGGATCAGAAAACATTAAGGATACAGTAACTGATCAACAGCAATCTCTCTCTCCAGCCAGGAGTCGAGTCCCTCTCCTGTCTTCAGTTTCTCAGCCATGTGGTCCTCCAACCCCTGCCTCTATGAAGCAGAAAGCCAGCCCACTGCTTTGCCTTACTCTCAGCACTACACTTCTGTTCTGTCCCAAGGTCTCCATGCCTCACTTGGTCTTGGCTGTCATATGGTGTCTACTACCTCTGTCAGTTCAGGCAGGAGTTTACAAAGTGCTCTGCTGGTGGCTCTTAACATATCAGAGAATTCCCTTCCAAAATGGGATTATAGCCACAGGCATAGAAGCGAGAATTTATAATGCATCACAAAAGGGATTATGGCTATGTCATATTAAGTAAATGCCTACATCTCAGCAGTTTGTGAACACCAATAGAGGGGATTGGTCCGTTTTAGTTGTCACTCCCTGTGAATAAGAAAGTCATCTCAGAAGTAGGAACAGAGAGAAGTCCTGGGATCACCAAGGAAGAAGAGCCATTAGCAGAGCACATTTGCTATTCCTCCCTCCCTGAAGTGGTGAGAGGCCATAGACACCATGCTATATGGAGACCAGCCGCTGAGGCAAAGGGACCACTGAGGCAGTAGGTGGGCTTCCTGGCCCAATGGAGACCATAAGCCAAAGAATCACAGAGCTGAGAGAGTGGTGACCAGAGGACTTGGTTGCTGACTGAAAAAAGGGGCTGTTGTGAATAAAAGATGATATCCTTAATACTTTCTGAACCTGGCTTTGTGGTAACATGTTACCTTCCCTAAAAAAACCCGTAACTGTGAGTATTATCTGAGGTCTGCAACAGATCATCAAACCAAACAGAAAAGGAGAGTTTCCATGAGAGGAATGGTCGGTGTCAGACGAGGTAAAGAAGGATGGAGAGTGGAGACATGTCTGATCTTTGCTTGTGACAAATGGCCTCGAGTATGGAGATGGATTCTCCTTTACCCTTAAGCTGCTAAACAAAGTTAGGTGTGGCCTCCTGACTTTTTTTACTCGGTGTATCTGCGTATGTTTATATACCTAAGTGTTTGCATATGAGCGTGCAAATGTGTATACAGATATGACTAAATGCACATAGGGAGGAGTACTCAAAAAAGCCCGTTTTTTTCCCCCCAAAGCTATGTGTTTAAATTTTTTTACACAACAACCTTATCACCTTCAAAGTTCTCTACATTACACTTAATACGTTTGTCAAATCTGCCATTACAGTATATTCTTGGAATCATTTTTCAAACTCATTTGTTCAGAAGGCTGACAGCACCTCCCTCGTGTTTTTCTTCACCTCTTCTACATCGTCAAATTACTATCCTTTCATGTTCCTTTTCATTCACAGAAACAAAAAGAAGTTGCATGGAGTGAGGTCGGGGGAGTAAGGTGTGTAGGGGAAGAGAAATATGCCATTTTTTGCCAGAAACCGGCACACTGAAGATGGCTGCGTGAGCAAGTTCATTGTCATGGTGGCAAAACCAGTCCCGTCTGCCACAAACCAGGCCATTTTTGTCAAACACTGTTACGCAATCTTTTCAGAACCTCTACATAGAAAGCTTAACAGTCTGACCTGGTGGAACGAACTACAAATCCACTACAAGTCGACATTTTCATCCATTCAGGAAGTTGACGGATGTCCAGAACAAGGTTTGTCATCAATCAACATTTCACCTTTTTTAAACAAGAAAACCACTTGTACACTTGAGTTTTTCCCATAGAGCTATCTTTGTAAGCTGTGTTCCACATCACAACAGTGGCATTTTTCCAGAGCAGGAAAAAAAATTTCACAGCCACATGCTGTTCTCTTAAATCAGCCATCACAAAAAACGAAGTTTGCACGAAACTGCTTTTATGAAAAAATTCACTGTGACGCCACTGGGTGCACCAGAGTTGTTCGATGCTTGCCCAGTGGGGAAAACACATACTACAAAAGCTCCGCTCCACCAGCGCAATTCCGGTTTTTTTGGGAACCCCCTCATATATCATTTATATAACAGTACATAGGGAGTACTCTTATGGATACTTCTTAGACATAATCAAACACTTCATGGGATGGGATTCATGAGTCTGAGGAATTGGAACCATAATCTTGTGGAACATATCAGTTAATTTGCATAATGTTTTTCTTAAGTCTAAACTTTATATACTATTTTGGTGAGTAAAGTGTGGACTCTGAATAGCTTATAAGTAGCCATTTAAGGTACAATTATTGGTCTCTACTCATTAGGAGAGCCAGTCCCTGGAGGACATCTGCTTTGTAAAGTACAGCATAGGAATAGCTGTGATGATGGCACAGGACCAGTGTTTCTTTCTGCTGTGCATACACTAGGGGATGGAAACAACTCAATGGTACCTCACAACAACACTACTCATCTAGACTAAAAGAGAAAGGAAGAAACCAGAGACTCAGAGAAGAAACTAATCGACAAGATGAACACCCTTACACAATGTTTCCCAAACGGGGTGATACCATGCTCCTGGGGGCGAGGGGGTGGTGTGGTGATGGAATGATTCAGGAGAGCTGTAAAAGCAGGTATCCTGGATTATGGATTATAGTACAAAAGGTTTTTTATTGCTATGGGGATCCTGAGTAATTTTTTTTTCTCCAGAAAACGGGGCAGCTGGCCAAATTATTTTGGGAACTTATGCTCTGCACAAACAAATATACTTCCCTAAATCTAAAAGAACTAGATGGTGCCCAGCTCCCATTTCTAATCAACGGGGGTAACAATAGATGGACAGTGATAGGAGAAAAATATGAAACAGAACATCTGATTACTAAAAACAGACCACACCTGGTTAAGATTAGTTAAGACTAAAGGACGCTCAAAAACAATTGCCCTGACACTCTGTTCAAATCTTAAAACTGAAACTATAGCCCTCCACCACTAGATCACCTTGTTACTAAGTAACAAATTGGCTCACAAAAATAATGATTATCACCTTTAAGTAATGTGTCCTTTAAAAATTTATCCATTGTTTTTGTCAAGTACCTTTGAATTGGCTCCAACTCATTGTGACTCTAATTAGAAAAAATACCACTGTCCTGTCCTATGTCGCCCTCACAACTGCTATGTTTGAGCCCCTAATTTCAGCTACTGTACTAATTCATCTCACTGAGTCTTCTTTTTCTCTGATCCTCTATTTTACAAAATAGGAGGTCCCATTCCAGGGGCCGTTCTCTCCTAATGAGGAGTCCTGGTTGTGTAGTGGGTTTCAAGTTGGACTGCTGCGGGATACATTAAGATTTCTCCCAAGTCGTCTCCCCCCAATATATGCTACACTTAGCTGCTTGCTACACATGGTAAGCACTTGGGAGGTCAACGAAAGTAGGTCAGAGGTTATCCTCCCTAAGGTTATCCTCCCTAAGGCATCTAGAGCAATCAGACTGTATGGTCTAAGGTTAGGCTGCCATATTGAGTCTAGGGTCCACCCATCTTGTCAGATATGTATCCCTAGTCCCTCCCTTTCCTATTACATGTACACCCCTAGCTCATCCCCTTCTTGTTATGTTTTTATCTATTGTACATCCCTTTCGTGCGATGTGTATGCCGATTGTACAACCCCTTCTTGTGACGTACGTCTTTAACCGTAATTAGGGTGCATGCACACCCTAAAAGATATGTAAGTCTTGGTTAGTAATAAATCGCTCTCAGTCATTCCTACACCCCCGTCTCCCACTTCCCCGTGTACCACCAAGAGGATCTGAGGTGAGCATGCTACCATGAAATGTGCCTGACTCCTTTATTTCACTCTCTTTTATTCTCTATGACTTTACTATAATCTTTAAACATCTTAACCGGGCAATTGCGCTTACTGAACCCATGATAGTGTGAGGGGCAGGCTTCCCCCACAGACTGCTAGCCACAAAGTGAGCAGTTCGAATCCACCAGCTGCTCTACAGGAGAAAGATGAAACTTTCTGGAAATACAATGTGGCATTTCTACTCTGTCCTATGAGTTAAAATTAACTCGATGGCATTAAGTTTGGTTTGGTTTGGCTCTCTCCTGATGACATGCCCAAAGTGTGTAAGGTAAAATCTCACCATTCTTGCTTCTAAGGAGCATTATGGTTGTACTTTCTCCAAGACAGATTTATTTGTCATTCTGGCAGTCCATGAAAGCACACTTTCAATATTCTTAACCAACACCGTAATTCCAATGTATCAATTCTCCAGTCTCCCTTATTCATTGCGGAGCTTTCATAGCCATTTGAGGTGATTAAATAAGTTATAGCTTAGGTAAAGCACACCTCAGTGCTCACAGCACACCTTTGCTCTCCAGCACTTTAAAGAGATCTTGTGCAGTAGAACTGCCCAAAATAATATATCCTTTTATTTTTGGACTGCTTGATTGTGTATTCAAATAAAATAAAATCCTTGACAACTTCGATCTTTTTTAAAGCTTTGCTTTGTCTCACTGCCCTTTTGAGCTTTTGGTTCGGTGCCTTTAATTCTATTCACTTATCTACTCTAAATGCAAGAGCAAGTTTCAGAGTCTCTTCTGACGTCCACTTTGGCCTTTTCTCTCTCGTTTCCTGGCCCTGTTTTCTTTAAAGAGCCCTAGTGGCCTTGCTGGGCAAGCTCTGGACTGCTCACCACAAGGTTAGGGATTCCCAGTCACCAGCTGCTCTGGGGGAGAGAGCTGAGACAATCTGCTCCCACGAGTACTTCTAGCTTCGGAACCCCACAAAGGGCCACGAGGAGATACAATTAACTAGATGGCAGTAGGCTGGATGGATTTGCTTTTTTCATGTGTGCTGTTCTTGACGTCATCCCACAACTCACCTAGTCTGTTCCATGCATTATATCTGTTCTTAAGATGATCTTTAAATTAGGTAGGGTATACTCAAAGTTGCATTTTGGAGCTCTGGGGGATGTGAGCAATTGATGGCCACTCCCAGCACAGTAAGCCTTATGACTGTGTGATTCAAAATGGCTAATACCACTCCATTTCAACTCACTAATGCCTAGAACATTGATCTCTATATGTCCCATGTCCTTTTGGATGACTTCCAATTTTCCTACACTCATACTATGTACATTCCACATTCTGATTATTAATGTATGTTTATAGCTGTTTCTTCTCATTGTGAGTCATTCCCCAGCAGCAAATGAAGATCTTGAAAGCTTTGCTCGATCTACTATGGTCAGCTCCACTTTGAAGACAGCTTTTCTGTAGTCATATTGTGAGTGGCTTCTAACCTCGACGGGGTTCATCGTCCAGCACCATATTAGACAATGATCCATTGTTAATCCTAAGGTCTTCAGGAGTAATCCCTCAGAAGTGGTCTGCCTATTCCTTCTTCCTAGTCTATTCTTAGTATGAATGCTCTGATGAAACCTGTTCACTATGGACGACAATGCTGACATTTGAAATACCAGTGACATCGCTTCCAGCATTACAGCAACACACAAGCACCAAGAGTGTCACAAACTGACGGATGAGTGCAGGAAGACTAAATAAATAAAAGCACATTATAGATTAATCGGTCAACAATTACTTTAAAATCATGATGTGAATGTAAGGGAGGAGGGGACCTAGATTAATGGATCCAGAACAGAAATAATGAACATGCCCATGCATTGTCAAAACTGTAACTAATGTCACTGAGCCACTTAAACAGTAATTATTGAATGGAATCCAAAAGTGCAGTGTAAACTTCCACTGAAAACGCAGTAAAATATTGTTTAAAAAAAAGAAATTTACCTCTTGGGTGGGAACACTTTCTTTCATTTCACTTGGAAACAGTGATGACGTTTTTTCCCCCATAGTGCTAAAGGATGCCAGTTGGTGACGTACCTGTCTCATGGTTTCACCAAGCTGCCCGGAAGAAGGAAACAAACAAAAACAAGATAAAGACTTAACACCAATACACTGAGTGTTCCAACAGGAAAAGAGGACTCTATTATTAAATAATGCCACACCTTAAACAAGAGGATTACTTGCAAAGGAGACTTTAATCAGCTAACAGTATCTTTGTAACATTATTTTCATTAATCTCAGAGCTACATTTCACACACAGATTTCGGAGCTGTTAGTCAAATTGCTTTCTTTTTGAGTATGCACGTTTTATATTCACTACAGATATCAGAATCTAAAAGTCTGAGTTCATATACTGAGATATTATTAAACAAACATATTACTTACCATCTATCCAGTTTGTAAATAAGGAATACTTAAACCGGTTCTTGTATACCTAAGCACTTTCAACATTCTTTGTAAGACTCTATTCCTAGTATGCCTAAGGCCTATATATATATATATATATATATATATATATATATAAACTCCTTTCACACACTCAACATTTAAAAGATTGTTCAAAGCTCCTTGACTCTAGAGAGCCTTCCTAAATTAACTTAAAATAGCAACTCAAACATCCCAACAGAAACAATTTGTTCTAACTACTCTAAGTAGCAGTTTATAAATGAGGACTAATATTAGATATGTGGACTTTGCGTACATTCTTGTCTCTACCTAGTAATATCAGTATGCACACATTTTGACTTCTTTTTCATAGAAATTATGTATCTCACAAATCTGCATATAATGTCTTCGTGGGGAGAAAAAGCAGCAATGAATGCTACATCATTTTCAGGTCAATCACTGAGCCACATATAAGACATACATCTCCTCGAGTGGTTATTAGCTGTCATCATGTTGGTTCCAATGTACACCAACCCTATATAGGGCCCGTGCCATCCTCACCATTGCTCCTCTGTTTAAGCCTATTGCTGCACCAACTGTTTACCAAGCCTGGCAAAGTCTCTCCTGACAACATATTCAGAGTACTTGAGGTGAAGTTTCACCATCCTCTAAGAAGCATTTTAACTATATTTCTTCCAAAACAGATTGTTCTTCTGGAAGTCCATGGTATACTTAATATTCTTCACTAAAATCAACTGTTCTCCAATATCTCTTATTCTTGTTTCACATACATATGAAGCAACTGAAAACACTATGGAGAAAAAAAAAGAATGAAAATACTATGTGTCCCCCAAAATACATGTGTTAAGCTGAGTTTTCTAGAGAAGCAAGCCAGTGACATATGTATAAAAAAGAACTTTATATCGAGAAAGAAATTTCTATCAAGGAAGTGGCCCAGCCCAGGCCAACTCAAGTCCATGAGTCGGATATTAGCTGGAGGCCCCTCCAGACTCACCCAACAGCTATCTTTGAAACAAGACCAAGCCGTCCACATGGATCCCAGCCCCAGAAGGTAGGAAGGGAATGCAAGCCAACAGGACGATGGGGAGGGCAAGAGAGAGAGATCAGTTCTTCACAGGATTGCTTATAAATAGGCCACACCCCCAAGGAGATGTCATTAGGCTATGACCTTATGGATAGGTTGGACTCACCCACATCTTCTTACAGGTACAGCAAGTTGACAGAAAAACCTAACCGTCACACATGCATCAACTTGTCTACACCATGTTTCTCAGGAGCTAAGCAGTTATATAATAGCATAATGTGACAGCTAAGTATTGATCCTCCATGATATGAATTGATGTGATAAAACCAAAAAGAGGACAAGGGATGTGAGGCAACACCTTTAATCTCATCACAGCCTCAACAGATGTGAGGGGAGTTTTAGTGAGATATGGCCTACAACATCTTTTATCTTGCAAGATAAAAAGGAGAGGAAACTACCAGGGCTAAGAAACAAAGAGCCAGGAGTGGAATGAGTCAATTTTACTTAGGGTCCCTCTACTACGAGGCTACTAGACCCAGGGGAAGATAAGTGATAAAGACACATGGGGATCATCAAGGAATGCCAGGCCTACAGATGCTGAAAGGAGACAAAGGGTTTTCCCCAGAGAGAGAAGAACCCTTCCCCTAGAATTTCTACTCTGAATTTGGACCTCTGGCCTCCTAAATTACAAATATTGCAAGGTTGAAAATCAGGACAGTTATGTGTCAGGGTTATATCCTCTCACCATACTTATTCAATCTGTATCCTGAGAAAATGACGAGAGAAGCTGGGTTCTATGAAGAACACGGCATCGGGACTGGACAAAGGCTTATTAACAAACAGCAGCATGCAGACAGCACGTCTGCTGAGCTTGAGGAGGACTTGAGGCACCTGCACATGAAGATCAAGGACTGCAGTCTTCAGTATGGATTCAACTCAATGTAAAGATAACCAAAATCCTCACAACTGAAACAATCGGTAACATCATGATAAATGGAGAAAAGATGGATGCTGTCAAGAATTTTGTCTTTGTTGGATCCATAATCAATGCTTATGGAAGCAAAAATCAAAAGATGTGTTACATGGGGTAAATCTGCTTCACAATACTTCTTTATAGAGTATTGAAAAGCAAGGA